GTTCCTGAACCTGTATTCCCTTTAACACAGGCGGGAGAGATACATGATTATATACACCTGGAAAATCCTAGAGGGACTAGTACCGAACTTGCACACGAAAATCACTATCTACGAAAGCAAAAGACTTGGCAGACGATGCAACATCCCCCCAATGAAAAGCAGGGGTGTCACTAGCACGTTAAGAGACAATACAGTAAGTGTCAGGGGCCCGAGACTGTTCAACTGCCTCCCAGCATACGTAAGGGGGATTACCAACAGACCCCTGGCAGTCTTCAAGCTGGGACTGGACAAGCACCTAAAGTCGGTTCCTGACCAGCCGGGCTGTGGCTCGTACGTTGGTTTGCGTGCAGCTAGCAGTAACAGCCTGGTTGATCAGGCTCTGATCTACCAGGAGGCCTGGTCACAGACCGGGCCGCGGGGGCGTTGACCCCCGGAACTCTCTCCAGGTAAACTCCAGGTAAACAGTTGTGACCGGGTGTGGACGTGTCATTAGCTCATCACTTTGTAATTTGTTCATTACTAACCATGTATAAAAGTGTAGATTGTTCATTACCTTTGTAACTTGCCACGATTGTGACCTGATCTACCTGGAGTTCATTGCCTTTGTAACTTGCCACGATTGTGACCAGGTTTACCTGGAGTTCATTGCCTTTGTAACTTGCCATGATTGTGACCAGATCTACCTGGAGTTCATTACCTTTTTTACTTGCCATGATTGTGACCAGATCTACCTGGAGTTCATTACCTTTGTAACTTGCCACGATTGTGACCAGGTCTACCTGGAGTTCATTACCTTTGTAACTTGCCACGATTGTGACCAGTTCTACCTGGAGTTCATTACCTTTGTAACTTGCCACGATTTCGACCAGGTCTACCTGGAGTTCATTACCTTTGTAACTTGCCTCGATTGTGACCAGGTCTAACTGGGGTTCATTACCTTTGTAACTTGCCATGATTGTGACCAGGTCTACCTGGAGTTCATTACCTTTGTAACTTGCCATGATTGTGACCAGGTCTACCTGGAGTTCATTACCTTTGTAACTTGCCATTATTGTGACCAGGTCTACCTGGAGTTCATTACCTTTGTAACTTGCCACGATTGTGACCAGGTTTACCTGGAGTTCATTGCCTTTGTAACTTGCCATGATTGTGACCAGATCTACCTGGAGTTCATTACCTTTGTAACTTGCCACGATTGTGACCAGGTCTACCTGGAGTTCATTACCTTTGTAACTTGCCACGATTTCGACCAGGTCTACCTGGAGTTCATTACCTTTGTAACTTGCCTCGATTGTGACCAGGTCTAACTGGGGTTCATTACCTTTGTAACTTGCTCAGCTATCATAACTTTGGGGTCCAGTCCCTGGACCCATTATGTACCTCAGTAATGGTTTGATTACCACGCACAGGATGGGTATGACTACCGACCACAGGATGGGTATGACTACCGCCCACAGGATGGGTATGGGGTGCATATTAAACTAAAACAAGCTCTATGAATCACGCCCAGTCCCACTGGTTGCATAGTGTTCGTAGGATTTTGTCTCGCTTCCCACGAGGCTCGCCAAGTTAGCACGGGATCGATCCACGAATATGCCAGCTTTGTCCCTCTTCTTGTAGTCTTCCTTCAACTATCATAGAAAAATATTTACTCATCTTCACTATCTATATTCAGTCATTCCTTAAGACCAGTGAATCAGCTTGAAATAACAGGACGTGCCCTTAAAATTGTACCATTGTGTATTTAACTAGCTTGTGTATTATACATTTAATAATTAATTATGCAAATCCTACATAATATTCGATGTCTACTTCTTAAGTAGTTTTTAAGCATTAGAATTAGTTTGCCTGAAATGCATAGCATACACGTAGCTTTCTTTTGCACATTGAGAGAAAACACAATAAGTGTCAGGGGCCCAAGACTGTTCAACTGCCTCCCAGCATACATAAGGAGGATTACTAATAGACCCCTGGCAGTCTTCAAGAAGGCACTGGATAGGCACCTAAAGTAAGTACCTGGCCAACCGGGCTGTGGCTCGTACATCAGCTTGCATGCAGTCAGCAGTAACAGCCTGGTTGATCAGACCCTGATCCACCATGAGGCCTGGTCTTAGACCGAGCCGCGGGGTCGTTGAGCCCCGAAACCTTCACCAGGTAAACTCCAGGTAAACCTAACAATGTTTGCATGTAATCTATACATATATATTTTTATATTCGCCAGTACTTTCCCGGCCTGGGTCTTTTCCAAGTAGTGGTGACGCGGCCTTGTAAAGACTTGAATCTGAATTAGTGTTGATATTACGTAATATTATGTATGTTTATGTTGGTTTATTGTAAGACTTGGTAATTTTAAGAAATTAATATTAAAAATTTAATTATTTTCGACTATATTCATTGGTCTTATTGTACACCACTTTAGAGATTTTTAACAGAAAATTATATTGAAGATTAAAATATTCACAAGAAAAATATACAACATTTGAACTACACAATTTAAACTTGTAGATATAAAAAATAAATTTACCGTACTTACAAATGGGATACTTAGAATCAAGATTTTTAATATACTTTAATAACTTTAAAAGGACCATTGCTACATTGCTATTCCTGTTTGATAAGTAAAAAATATTTTTCACCCATTACGTGAAGAACATCAAATTACCTACGAAATCACCATATATGAGACTCAATTTTATATATGTACAGAGCTGCTGGTTCCTCACTTAACATTATTTGCATTTTTTTCTGAATTTCCATTTCATATTAGAATCCCATACTAATATTTATGTATTGTATACAGTTATATATTTACTGAATCAAAGTTCTTTCTTACTTAATGTAACTACAGATTTCTTTGAAGGATGATGTAAAATAAAATCGAAGAAAATATAAATTATCTAGACATATGCGGCAGATTTAAGGGCGAGGCTATAATACTGGGTATAACAATGTCATGACAATGTCAATTGTCACTAATTAACTGTCATAGATTAGTGTGGAATCAGATTTCATCTTCCATTTCAACCGAACCTAATAAAATTTCTGGTGGGCGCTCTCACAGGTCTATTATCCAGCACTGACTCGCTGGTTTCAGAGGATGATGCTGGGTGTTCGACAAATCCATCAAATCTGCCGAATCTCAGAAAGTTGCGGTTGCGGCCGAAGCGCAAAAAGCCTCGGTTATACCCGTTTGTTTACGTCCTTTGTTTCCGCAGAAGAGAATTCGTTAATCATTTCATCTTCTGGACGGATATTTCTGGCCCAGGCGGAGGGGCTGTAATAAGGCAGTGATACATATACACCTGGAACAGCTCTCTTCCAGCGCTGAGAAGTTATCTTTCCTGATTCTAAGGAATTAATGTTGTTGGACGATTATAGGTTTTGCTGCACTTGTTCAGATATGTTTTCCAGGAATTTGGATTTCACATCGCAGAAATCTTGTGGTTGGAAACTGAGCTGACAGTCGACGGAGCGGCCGAACCTCAAGAAATTGCGTGAAGGATCACGACCGAACCTCAAGAAATTGCGTGAAGGATCACGGCCGAACCTCAGGAAATTGCGTGAAGGATCACGACCGAACCTCAGGAAATTGCGTGAAGGATCACGGCCGAACCTCAGGAAATTGCGTGAAGGATCACGACCGAACCTCAGGAAATTGCGTGAAGAATCGCGACCGAAACGTAGAAAGTTGCGACTTCGTTTCTCAACCGAATTAGTGAGTTCCTCGTTGCCATTGTTGTCATAGTCGTCGTAGTTGCTGCGTCCGAATCTGTTAACACGAAAATGTTCATTTAATTATGCATTTTGTGATTTTTTTTAAATATTTAAGTGTTTTTTTTTATAGAATTTTATTTGCAAAAATCCATTAAAACATTTCCCGTAAATTTTGTGAATTTTCAGTCTTTATTTAAAAGTTTGCTACAATATTTTATTACCATTTATTTGTTGCTCTTTCCTATATTCCTATATTCTAGTCAGAAAATGTTGAAAAAAAGAGTTAATATATTCAACGCTTTCACAATTTGAGAATTTAATTTCTGTAAGTATATAAAAGCCAATCATTAAGAATTAGATGCCTATAAAAGTAACAGAAATTTGGAGTACGAGGTTTTTCAGCTGTACAGACCTGAGGAAATTGCGACCTCCTCTCTTGTTTTCCACATGATTGCTACAAGAAATGGAGAAATAATATAGAGATAATTATAAATGAATAGAATAATTTTGCTAACGAGCAATTGAGGATGAAAACAAATATTACCAAATTACCAATTATTCCAGTACTCCATGACATTTTGTGTTTAGTATTAACTGATACAAATATTCGTATGTACATGCACTTTCCACTACATACACTTCCCTAAATTATGTCCACAGGCAATTATATCTACATAAATATTTTGATAAAATTCATTAATAAATTTAAACGCAAGAATACGCAAGATGACGAAGATCACTACGGATATTTGAAGCTGCCACAAATGTTGTTGTAATGAAAATTCTGAGACTTTTGAGGGAAGGTGTGAGTAAGAAATACCCAGCGTTGTGGGCTTCCAACGATGACAATGTCCAGCGTTGTGGGCTTCCAACGATGACAATGTCCAGCGTTGTGGGCTTCCAACGATGACAATGTCCAGTGCTCACGCAGCATATTTTATCTAAAGTTTTCTGGCCAAAAACACCATGTTGATCATTTCCCACCCTCCCTAGTACCCATATATAACTCCTTGTGACTTCATTCTTTCCACAAAAATAAAATGGAAGTCAGGAGGCAGTGTGGTATATATTCAAGAAAGCTCTCTCTGTATACTTTATTTTTTCCGCAGTCCGAAAACTTTGCAAAACCTCTTATGATATTTGCCCAGCAGAAAGATAAAATTAGTTCTGTTAGTGCTAAGGTCATGTTGGTGCCATGGGGAAAAAATGGCCGGTCCATCAGATAAGGCCGTTGTTATGTGCTCGCTCTGTTGCAGTCCACTTCATTATAGTGATTTCATTAGCCAATGAGAAGAGGTGTGCTCGGTGGGACCTACAAGAGGCGTGCTCGGTGGGCCCTACAAAAGGCGTGCTCGGTGGGACCTACAAGAGGCGTGCTCGGTGGGACCTACAAGAGGCGCGCTCGGTGGGACCTACAAGAGGTGCGTCGGTGGGGGTC